TGGGGGAGGGTAGGCCACAGAAGCAAGTAGAGCTGGTCAGATCACATTTACATGTTTTAATATAGTACTGAGAATGATTTTTAGCAAGATTACTCCAGGGAACACATTTATATTGTGGAAAGATCACTTTGTGCTATTATTGAAGATTGACTGGAGGTTGACAAGAAAAATTAATGGAGGTCAGAAGTAAGTCTGGAAATGTTGAAGCAGGAAAATTTGAAGATATTTTTGGAAATGGAGTCAGGTCTCTGTAATTAATTGGATGTGGATGTGAGGGAGGAACAACTGAAATAACCCCCATATTTCTGGCTTGAGAATCTAGGTTATGGTAGGCCATTCATCAGAAGAAGGAATAGTGGGAGAAGAGCAGCTTTTGGAGGGAACAGGACTGTGATTTGGTGCAAACTGCGTTTGGGAAGCGAAGAGAAGCTATCACTGGAGATGCCTGGCAGACAGCTGTGGTTCTTAGAGCTCTGAGAGTTTTATTTCAGTGTTCAGGCAGAGCAAGGGAAGTCTCTCTGTAACTCAAGACTAAAACTCCAAAGAGCAGTCCTTTGGCTGAAAGCTGGACCCTAAAGCAGCAACTCGCTCTCTTAGCCATTTGTGCACTTCTGCCTTATGGCATTTGACCCCTGAGTTCCACACTCACAGAAACCCGGGAAGCGCCCAGAGGGCACTGGACCCAAAGATAAGAAAGCCCTTGTGATAGAAGGAAGTCACTCCTAAAGCTTTGAGCCAAGACCTCACCCCACCCCAGCGCCACCTCCAACCAGTGGGGCCGATTGCCTGGAGATGGAGCTCTCCTCTCAGTCCCATGCTGGCACTGGCTCTGCCACCACCACACCCGTGGTTCAGAACAATGACCGCCTTCTTTGCTTAATGGCCACAAGGAAGGCCCAGAGGCCTAGTCTGCAGGCATCTTGAACCCAGGCCTGAATCAAGATGCAAAAATGAGCCTTGAGTGCAGTCATGTGGGAACCTTAGGTTCAAGGGTAAGCGTGTGTGACAGCTCCTAGACTTTGGTCTCCAGGCCCCTAATTCCTGTAGTGAAAGCTGAAGTAGCTAGGCAATGCAGCAGAGCCCAAATTTCCTCAAACTAGATCACATAAGGAAGCCTAGTGAACTGTGCACTGCCCCTTTCTCCAAGCTCCACCTGGCACAGTGCCCAGATATCCTTGTTAGGGTATCTGTTTTGATCTTTTGTTGTAATGTTTCCTGTTTAACCCAATAACCCTGTTCTTATGTTAAAGATTTTTTTAAATTAAAAAATAAAACAGAAAAAAGGCTATGTGTATTATACCTATTTTCAGAAGTGCAGGATCAACCCAGTTGTAACCTACAGTGAGGTGTTCAGCCACAAACCTGCAACAGGAGTGAGAATTAAGGCTTTATCGGCCATTGCTATGAGCCAGTCCTCCACTTACTGGACTCACAACTGGGCACTGGCTAGTCCCAGACCAGAGCCAACAACCTAAGTAAATGCAAGTACCTATCAAGCACCCAAATAAATATGTCTTGAGTATGAATGAGAGGCACAGATTTAGACATTACAATCATGGAAGTACAGTGAGGTGTGTAATTTAAAACACTATAAAAAGTGTTGCTGTACAGTAGAAGTGTAGATTATTTTCTGTAAAGGTCTCATCTTGCTCTCAAGTTCTCATACTTGTGGGAGGAGAGGCAGAAAAGGAAACCTAAACTTGCCGGTTAAAAATAACGCTGTCTCTTTTGGGTAAATGCTGTCTTTCAGGATTTCTCCTTCCTCCCTCTCCTAGCCTGAATTTTAGCAATTTCTATGTAAGTCTAAACATATTTCAAATTTTAAAAGTATTCAAATAACATTTATATTTATATGTGTGTGTGTGTGTGTGTGTGTGTGTGTGTGTGTGTGTGTGTCTGTCAGCCAGGAGCCAAGGGAGATAAGCGTAGGACCTTCAGCTTGATGATCACATAGACCAACAACAAGGCTATTGTCATTCTGCTGCAGTCACCCTATGATGATTCAAGGTCCCTTGCATGACAGTGTCTTCTCAGAGTCAAAATCTATCTGGTGCTTCTGCCCTTTTCACTGGCCCATCTCTTCAGGTCCAGGCCAGGAAGGGAACAAGGGGTGTTGTGTCCCTGGAGAGCCCAGGCCGACCGTAGCCCCTAATATCCACCCTCCTAATCTTTTCCATTCTCTTCCCAGTAAGAACGCTACTGAATCTTTCCTGTAGGTCAGAACACCTCCTAAGTTTGTCCCCTCTGGTCTGACCTTATGGACGTCTCCCTTTCTTCTAAGGGAGCAACAAAGCCTTTGCGGCTCAGCCCTGAGGCTGGGAGAACATGAAGGGATGTTACAGTGAAACAGTATCTTCTCTTTTTTGCCTCCCAGTCTCTGAACCTGCTTTCAGTTGTTGGAAAGCACAGTTCCTCCATCTGTTTCCTTTCTCAGAGGCTGAAATACCAGATACCCCCTTCCTAGCCTCCCGTGCAGCTAGGCATAGCACATGACCAGTTCTACCCACCAGGTGCTTCTCCGAGGAACTGAACGGGGGTGGGGCGACAGGCTATGCCAGATCCTTTCTGGTGATAAATGGGAGCAGCAAGGGCCTCAGCTGAGCGGGAGTGGGCAGCATCCAAGGCAGCGCCAGGGGTGCGAGTGGCAGCGTCTAGCACCTCGCTGCAAGGACAATGGCATCTTCATCAGACCCCGGGGCAGGATTTGGGCGTGGTTCCTGACTACGGAGGCCCTGACCGTCACACCCTGGCCTTCCTGCAAACTCTGTCAGCTGTCCCTGAGCTGCCGCTGATTTGCGATTGCAGCTGCACAGGCTGATTTAGCACTTAGTAAACCACAGTAGCCGCGTTTAATAAAAAAGCAGATTCATTTGGAACCAACACAGGCTTTCCAGGGCCTCATACTGTATAAATCAGGATGGAGTCTGGGATGGAGATGGAAATTTCTTTCCTGGGGTCACAAAATGCTCTCTAGGGGACTCTATACGACAAAGGCAGCTATACTTGGAACGAACTTCAGACTCATTGTTAGAGACTCTAGAATGGAGCACTCTCAACTTGGCTTTTTTTCAAGCTCAGCTTAGTGGGTAGAAATCTAGTTAATTTTTTACTAAACTTTTCCTCCTTTATCTTGTTTCTTAACCTTGGATAGATGGCCCAGGTTGGACCTTAAATAGCAAAATGTGTGTGTGTGTGTGTGTGCGTGTGTGTGTGCATCCTTTAGAGTAGGGAACTTTATGGCAGTGTGCCCCTATTGGGCCTGTGAGGCACCGTCTTCAGGTTAACAATAGCTGCAACTCTGCTGGAGGAAGCCTTGGGTTTCATCAAGATTCTGGGGAGCACATGGAAACAGAACTAACCTCTTTACAAAATATTTTCCTAATTGAGGTTAGATTCACAGACCATCGCCAACTGGCACAGTCTGATAGGTCCTGACAAGCTCAGACAAGAAGCTTTTCTCCACCCTCAGATAACCCTAAACCAACTGGCTGGCAACTGCAATATAGGTTTGGGTTGTGCTGGAATCTGAGAATGTCATCTTTGCTTGTGATAACTGCTGCTAGTGTTTTCCTAAATATCGTGGGATTGTGGCAGCTGCTACACTCATCTTATGTATCCTGTGCTCTTTGGAAAAGTAACACCCAAGAGAATTATAGTTGGGATTCTACTTTGCAGATATTAGAGGATTCACAGCAGATTTTCGAATAACATCGTTTCATTCAACATTTTATTATAACTTTGAGATGCCAGAGGAACTTAACTTGTTTATATCAATTAGCCTATGGTAAAGTTGGCTTCACCATACATCATTTCACTTATAGTCGAAGAACCCATCGTTAAGTGAGGACTTACTGTACATG